TGATGGGATGAGAGTCAATGGACACAACTTGGAACATGGAAGTTCTCATTAGATATTAGGAAAAACTTTTTTCCTGTGTGGATGATCAAATACTGGAAGAGGTCACCCAGAGAGGTTGTGGATCATCTGTCCTTGGAGGCATTCAAGACTCAATTGGACAATGCCCTGACCTACCTGGTCTAACTAGACCTGAGCAGAGTGATGGCCTAGACAATCCATCTAGAGGTCCCTTCTGACCTTTATTATGCTATGATTCTAACTACAAGCAGAGTTCAAATGATTCCTCAATTCAGCTGGTATTTTTTTAAGACTGAAAAGCAAACAGAAACTACTCTTCCCTTCTGGAAGGAGACACACACTGGACAGTCCATAAAATACTTTGCATGTAAAAATACATATAATTTTCAACATATATTGCCAAGTAATTCAAGAAAAACACTGTTACAGCAGGATATCTGAATTGCCTTTTCTAAAAATGTCAGACCAAGGAGCAAAACAACTAATATAACTTCAAAATTTCTAAATATTCTTTGGCATTGTAAACAGAATTACAGATCCAGAGCCAGAAAAACTAGTACAGAATACTCCAATTAAAATGTACCAGTTTGTTCAATGCAGCAGTAAGCAAAACCAGATTAAAAGCATCAAAATTTTGCCAGTGTCTAATGTCTGCTGTAAAGTATTTTGAAAGGGTAAAGCAAGAATTGCTGTAACTCCATGGCTCATCCTTAAAATAAAAGCGAGGTCTTCTTTACCATATCTGAATACTGTTTCATAGGCTTGGGAGCATCCAGGAACTGACACTTCCCTTGCAACGAAATACAAAGGCACTGAATGGTGGATGTTTTCATATTATACTTCTATTATGATACACATAAATCTTTAAGGAAAGAAAAATCACAGATTCCACAAAACTTGTACAAAATGGAATACAGAGTTAGAACCAAAGGTCCTTTGTCTGACCCTTATAATAACGTTTTATGAAGCCAGCTTTCAGAATTAAAGTTTTTGGGCCTCTACATCAGAAGACATTTCTCAAATCCTTGAAAAAAGTGAGCTTATTTGGTACTTTATCTAGTTTTTCACTGCTGTATAAAACGGGAGACATTAACTCTGACCTGGTAAAGAATTCATTTACTGCTTATAAATACCTGCAGAAAGCATAGGAAATTATATTAATCTTTTGAAGATCACAGCTTAGCAAGAGGAAACAAAAGATGTCTGTCTCTATTTGCATTTTCTTTTTTCTTTGGCTAATAAAGCCTAGGTGACAGCATAAATTGTTACAGTGAAAGCATCTGTTCACAGAAATTAAATAAAAATTAGCAGTTATGGAGTATCTCCATCTTTGGTTAGGACTTCTGTCTAGCTCCCTATGATCACCTGGAAACTGTCAAAGCTTTTAACAAATTGAGCAGAAATACTTCCTAAAATAAAAATACAAGTTGATATTATGTGGCTGGGGAAGTGAAGTTGGAAAACTCTCATGTAAAAGCAGTTGTATCTGTCTGGATATATCCCAGATTTTCCACTGGATTAGATTAGGATTATCCCCATAATTGATGTCACTGCAATAGTGCATGAAGAGTAGATGGTCTTTCAGAAAACTCTGGGAAACAGTATTAGGTTCAAAAATAAAAATACTATAATTCAGAGTTGCCTCTGAAGGATAACAGGGAAATGGTACAGTATATGCAACAGCAACGTCACATCTTCCTTCTGATCTGTTCAAATAAACATTGGCCTACTATGATCTGCAGTAGTTAAAACTATCAAGAAGTTTCAATGTGTCCCCACATATGGCATATTCTCACATTTCTGTGTGGAGATACAACATCCACAGGTGATGAGTTCTTCAGCAAGGACAGATAATAATCAATACATCAAAAAAAAAGATGCTGAGGTCAACTTTATCAGTCATACAAGGGCCAAAATGGAGTCTCAAAGTACCTTTAAGTCATCCAAATCCTGACAAGGTTTAACTAGAACACTCTCAGATCACACATTATTCCCTTAAATGCTAACAAACTACTCCCCAAGCAATTCTCAGTACTGGCAGCACCTCCACCTGAAATAGATTTAACTTCAACTTAACCTCTCCTGCTACAATTCAAAGCAAAGTGAAAGCAAAGACTTTACACAAGCCAGATCCTAAGAAGAAAGCAGAGCTGCAAGCTGCCAAATGCTAATGCATTTCCCAATTGGCTGCAGTCGGTGCAGAGAGTAGGCGATGTATCAGCACTCTGTAAAAATCTATGAGCCAGAGCCAATGAGATGGATGTACGATATCTTACCATTTGAAAGTGGTGACCTGAATATCTTTACAAGGAGCGTGGGCCAGAGAGTGTTGTTATCCCCTGAATATTCAGACTATGGGTACAATCTCAGTCGACAGTCAAACAGTGGATAAATAATCTCTAAGAGCTCTGCCAGTGCAGCCAGGACATTTTGGAGCAGAAGTAAACGAAATGCAGACGTTATTCATCACCTTTTCCAGGAATTCTCATTTCTATTTAGTTCCTTACATTGTGAAAAAGAGGCTTTTCCCAGCATGTTGTCCACTAAGCTGTCTATAATTCAGCACCGTTTTAATGACTAGAATAAGTAACAGGAATCTTCTGCCCTTCTGAGACAGTCATGAAGGAGAACTGAAACAAGTTTTTTTGTTTTGTTTCAGGGTTCTTTTTAAAACCTTCCTCTGCAGTTGATTAGCCTTGAGTAACTGCCAGCTTATACATTGAATGCTGCTTCCACGTGCTTTATCCTCAGCAATCCACCAGGCTTCCTGGTAAAATGAGCACAGAGTACCCAATAGCTGTGGCAGGAACAACAAACAGAATGATTAAGTGGCAATTAGATAACACCTTTCTGCCTGTACGAAGCTTTTGAAATTATTGGAGTTCCACTAGTTTCTGCACATGACTTGAAGGTTGAAATAGACCTTCTTAGATGAATTTTTAGTTTATACTTGTTCTACATTGTTTAAAAAAAAAAAAAAAATAGTACAGGTAAATAGAGGGAATAGTAGAAACATTACTTTTTTGAAATCCAAATCACAGATAGGATCTTCAAACTTCCCTATATGTCATACACTTAAGATGAATCATCACACCTCCTATGCTCTTCAGTTGAATTTGTTCAACTTTTACAGCTTTCCTTTTGTATGTAATTGTCCTGCTCCCCAGTCCTTGGGGTTTTATGAGTGGGGCTTTTTGTTGTTTCTGCATGTGGGTTTTTGTGGTGGTTTTTCGTTTGGTTGGTTTTTTTTAACATAAATCTGCCTTCAATTTGCCAATATATTCCAGGCAATGCCTACAATATTGTCCAGCTCCCAGCAGGATTGCAGGAAAGTTGACAGGAAGACAGTTTTTTTTCTCTGATATGCAACTTTAGACGTTGTTGGTTTCAAGGTGCAGAACAGAATCAAAACTTAATACTGATTCCTATATTATACAGTAAAGCCGTCACCAGTTCTAGTTACATTGATTTGTTTCTTGCTTTTCTAAAAACCTAAAAATCCAGCCTTTTACACATCAAATTTATCTTTATCTTGTGTTATGATTCAAGATCTAAATCTATTTCATGCTAAGTGTCTTTCAAGACTATGTTTTTAATAATACTAACAAAAAGAATTCTGCTCTGTAGAATATGGTTTAGCCTTGGGTCCTATTCTATGGATACTTTGATTACGCATTCACTTTCCCTTTTAACAGTTGACCATTTATTTACTGATAAATATTAATTTTACAGGTCTATAGCTGCCTACCTCAGTTTACCTTTCTGGAATATTATAATTATTACAATTTTCCACTCCAAAATTTTTTGGGTGTATTCCTACATTCCTAGTTTCTCAAACATCACTGTTAATGACAGAGTAAGTTATTTCAACTAAATCACACTGTAAACTGAAATCTGCATAATCTGGATTGGATTTGCTAATGATTTTTCAACATTTATTTACTTAGAAAACTGCTAATAGCTTCTGATAAAGACTAAGTTCCTCAGTCATTTATAATGTGGAAGACATATTTATTCCCCTGACTTTAGCCTTGGGGAACAGTGCTACGTTGGTTAATACATGCACATGATTCCTAGTGACAGAAATTAAGTTCAGTTGCATTATGCAAAGATGTCATCCAACTTTAATTTCTACCTCTAAAGAGACACTCAAAGCAATGAGGCATGGCTACACAGCTTTTTCAGTGATCTTACACAAGAAACTTCCCATGAGAGCAAAACTAGAAAGGACTTTTTGAAACTGAGAATATTTAAAGACAATTATGAAAATCTTTGTGTGAACCACACATTCCAACCCAAATGCCAGGAGCAATCCCCTTTACATGGATATTTAAGAGGGCACAATCTGCCCCAAACATTTTTAGGTTACACAAGATGTTGAGTTTTCATTTTGGGTTTTTTGAGGTGAAATTTCTGCTTTCACTTACTATGCATTTCCACTGAAATACTAATGAAGAGTTGAGAAAAAGGTTGCAGCAAACTGTATACTTAGCAGTTGACTGAGGTAAATCTCCAGGAGAGAACTGAGACACAAATGACTGATTTCTGATCTGACTTTTCAGAAGTTCAGAAACACCATAAAATATACATGGTTCAACTGTCTTATCACTGTTGTGGCACAGAATCCGTACATCAAAAAAGGAAAATAGACTAGTGCATGCACTGAGTGTTGTAGGCAGAGATAAACATCACTGACAACCAGTTATAATTGCTCAAGTGTGTCAAGAGTTCTGGAGCCTTTTCATAATAAAATATTACACACACAGTGTGTAATGACTGGCAAAATGTGTCTACATGAAATAAATGAATATTAAACAAGCAAAATGCTGAGAGCTGCCAACAGAACTGTATGGGTTAATAGGTGGTTTTTAGAAAGCCTTTTCAGACAAGCCTCCAAGGTTATTGTGTTATCTCATGAATCAGTTGGTAAAATGTTTTGCCAATGAATGTAAGGAAGTTTAAAGCTGTTGGCTTTCGCCTACCGTACCAAGATCAGTCTTAAGATCTGTTGGCAGACTTAACTTTCTTGATCCTTTGACTGAAACAACAGAAAAAGGAGAAAGGCAGTTGTTAATAAGTCAGAAAGAAAAAGGAGCGAGGGAAAACAACATGCCATCTTCTGGTTAATACCATGTTGCAAATATGTAGCTTTTTTTTTTTAAATCATCATATAAAAGCAGAATTATGGTTTAAATATTTTCATGTACACCATTCAGCAAAATAAATGTAACTGAACAAAGAAGCACTGGAAAAAACATTACTCCAGCTCTCAAGAAGTGAATGGTGCTTTTCACAGCTTTGGCTGTGTGCTGCAATATCTTACCTTGTAAAAACAGGAATGATTAAAAAAAACACAAATGAGATTAAGACAAATATTGCAAATGCTAGTTATGCAGCATATCACAAATATTTAAACACCTGGAAACCAATTTAATCAGAGAATGCAATGAAATTATGAATTCTGATGACATCATACCTCAAGATACCATTTGAAAAAGCGAGGGCATATTGTACAGGTAATGGAGACAGAACACACTATTGTAATATTATGGAAAGGAAGACAGATTGCACAGAAACAAAATACAGCAGCTTCAGGATATGATGTGGTGTTATCTAGACATCAAAATATTGCACTCAATTTACTGAAGACTTAATTGTCTGTTGTGTTCCAATTATGCAACAAAACTATCATTTTGCTTCTGTTAAAAAATGTTTGGATTTCCTTACACACAAGCACATTTTTAAACAATGAACACCAGAGAACTGAAATGAAGCATGTCTTGTAGCAGTCAAAATGGCATTAAATTTATTAAAAGAATGCCTTAAGAAATCTTTTATTAATTATTCAGAAGACTTAATTTCCATTTTGGTTCTTTCATTTTGCATTCATTCAGTATTTTTTTCACATTGTTTTCTGGCTTTTACCCCTCACACATATTGTCTGTTAGTAGAAACGAACAATTAAATATTTGTCAGCTAACTACTGTACTTCTAAAGAAAGTCCCACGTGGTAAGCATCACAGTGACAGGAACACTGGGACATATGAACATAAGGAGAAAGTCCCTTTTAATTCCTATTTAATAAGCTTTTAGGTCAGAAGGATGCCCCGAACAGCCACTTACCATTTTAAGTTACAAAGCTACTAAAAAGAAATTCTGTTGCATTCTTTTGCAAAGTGCCATAAACTACAAAGCCTGCAATATGGCAGAGGAAAATATCAGCTGGCACCTATGCTAGATGTTTTTCTTTCTTTCTTCAGGGAAGAGCTTCAGACTCTTGAGCAACGTTCTGGTATCAGTAGAACCAGCAGAACCCTCCCAGTAACCCATTTCTAGCTGTCACTTTAACTGCATGCTTTGGGACAAGCTGAAGAAATGACTTCAGATCAACCCAACATCAAAATATACATCACTAACAGTACTACATGAAAATTCTCTAATTTGGGTACCAAGTGTTAGGCTCCTACATCCATTTTAGGCACTCACACAAAGGGCAGCTTGATTTTCAGAACGGCCTTTTAAAAA